GCCCGAGATACATCGTTACTTGGCTCCAAACTTGTATAAATATAACATGTAATTATTTCAGTACTCAATTTTATTTATGTACATCAAGCAGTTGCAAGAGTGTATTATCAGTGTCTTTAGCGACATATAAGAGCTTGAAGAGGTAGAGGAAGTAAGGAAGAATAATATGAAATTTATGAAAGTATTATCAACGAGACCATGATTAGACAGAAATTATAAAATCCTACTATTATCGTATCTTGAAATGACTAGCTGTGAGGATCCCATACTAACCTTGGGTTCAGTACGTAGATTCATATCTAAGCTTAATCTGGAACAAGTAAAAAAAATTCTAGTATGAATTCTAATGATATACTGCAAAAGATGAGAAAAACTTGAGGAAATAAGGACTGTTGAGATTAAAGAAATGTCACACCATTGACCATACACACTAATATCAAATCAGATTCTAAAAAATGCACCATGTAGTTGATGTCTACATGAAAATCAGCTACAGGGTGGGAGTAAAATAGAAGACAATTATCGATTAGAAAAACAGGCTCAAGTATGTCATTTTCAAACTCAGAAGTGTTATTTTCCTTATACAAGAAGTACCAACGGCAACGAGTACTACAAGCAAAACATAAACTGAAATGTCACTCAAAAAAATTAACATGTACTCTGAAGTTCATGTTCTCCGTTTTCAAATAAACATATTCTGCAAATAACAAGAAAATAGCCTCTTGAACTCATCAGATGAGTACCTCAAATGCAGACATAGAATTCAGTGAGCTTAAGAAAATTATAGAGAATTTCACATATTCCTACCAATTCTTAGTCCCGTAGTAAGATATGATCCAGTGGGAAAAGAAGAAACATACTTGTGAAAGCAAAGTAAACAAAAATTTTACCACACAATCTAAATATGTAGATCAAGAGCAAAAGTTCTTGGAACTGCACATTCAACTTTGTAATTCGAACATGTAGATCAAGAACAAAAGTTCTGGAAATTCATTCTACAACTTTGATTCCTTACCATGTTCTGTAGCAACATTCAACTATTGCTTCTTATATAAGAGAAATGTAGACATCAGTTAACAAGCTACTTTCTTCAAGAATGAATTTTTAGAAACACCTCAATTCTGTAATTCATTCCCATCAATGCAATTTAAGAAAACCAACAAAACTTTGAAATATTTATAGAAAAATAGTATGGAAAGAAAATCAATATGGCTTATTTTCTTGCCTGAAGCAAAACAATGTAAATGAAACGATGTTGTACACTTACTGTCCCAGGACTATTTCAATTCAGGTGCAGGTATCATCAGTTGTATTTGACGAAGTTGTAGATACAATGTCATTTCTAGGTGTTTCTATTCCCCACAGATGAAGATGGTGCCGATATGTTGACAACAACTGAATCCGGCATAACTGGTGTCGGCACTTCAGGCAATGATGGTGCTTGATCAGGTGTGAAACTAGACATTAGAGGAGATGTCACTGGATCTGATGATCTTTCTCCAAAATATCTGCTTCGTCCACCCCCCTTGGTGCCATATCTGCAATTTCAAAGTTACATGTGGATGAAATAATAACTTAATAATTGAATCATGGCCAGTTTGGTCAAATTATAACAAGAACAGGTAATAAGTAGATATATCACTTCAAGAACAAGATGCCTCTGAAAAGTTAAAAAAAGTGTTAACCTAGACAATAGATAAAAACATAAACACTTCAAGGAATAAAGTTATTCCATCACTATTCAAAACATAGATCTAGAATGGTCTACTTCATATTACGAAATGAGAGTGAGGGATAGTTGCTCAAACAAAACAACCTGGAGAACAATTAAAACAAAATAATTATACTGGTAAAAGAGAAATATAAATTGGTGACATTTAAAATTCAGAACTTTGTCAGCAAGAAATATAAAATCTAATTGAAATAAAATCATCTTATATACTACGTTTCAGTCACTCTAACTCTTATATTTGAAGAGATTAGAGCTAAGCACTTTGACTCTATTCACTGCCACTTTCACAATATGCCTCTTCATTCTCATTTTCATCATCTGATTCTGAGTCTGGTTCATCATGAAATTCTGTCTCATCATCTAAATCATCATTCTCATTTCTTAAATTTATGAATTCTCCATTTGGATCATTTCGGACAATATTTTCATTGTCGTACACCACATCAAATCTTAAACCATCTCCGTCACATTGGAATGGCTCTGCAACATCTACTAGAGGAGACGATAAATATGATGGAGGCATAACAACAATACCCCGAGCTTTTGTTTTGCACACAGCCCACCAATCACTCTTAGCACGTCGTAAGCTAAGATAAGAAGCATAATACACTTGAGCTACTTGCATTTCCAAAACAAATGGTTCATACTTCTTCAATTTCCTTTTATGGTTGATATCCACAAGTTTATATTGCGGATGAATCTTCATTCCTGCATTTGGTGTGAGGTCAAACCATTCACATTTAAATAAAACTGTTCTTTTGATCGATGTACTGCCCTTGTACTCCAATTCAAGAATTTCAGTAAGCACACCACAGTAGTCATTGTCGTCTGCACTATAATTGGTTCCTTTTATGCAAACGCCACTGTTATCAGATGCTCAGAAAAACTGCGACCTTTAGTGTGAAATTTAAAGTCGTTGACATTATAACCAGTGTATGGTTTCGCTGATCGACATGGACCTTCTGCAAGCGCCTTGATGAACTGATTATCTATGTGGACTCGAGCCTATTAAATTAAAAAAATTAGAGTTTCTTATAAGTGAACTAAGTACAGATGGAAATATATTGTACAAGTGCTCACATATCTTGTGAACCATGAGGCAAAATCTTCATCAAGTTTCTTGTCCACTTCCTGCTCCGTAATTCGTGGAAAATTTTGATGAAGGGAGTCAATAAATTTCCTTTGGATCACATATAAGAAAAAGAATATGTAAGTATTTTGATAATTATAATGTATAAATGTAAACAAAAAGCTTGAAATCTTATTCCACATATGGCTGCACTTCTCTGCAATTTAGTAAAATATAAATATGAGTTGCTTTAAGTTCTTCTTCGGTTAGATATCTCCAATTTAGTTCCCCAAATCCTCGACCTGGATAGGTGAATATAGAAAGATTACCATCGTATCTATCTTGTTCGCCTATACCACCATCGTCATTTCGTGGCACTTTTCTATGCCTTGTGTAAACATGAGGCTCGAAGTAGTGTGAACAGAAGGATGAACCGTCATCAACTATATACGCATTGCATATGCATCCTTCAACATGTGCCTTATTTCGAACATTATATTTATATTTTTGAAGATTTCTGAAAATAGTACAAAAGCTCAAGGCGTTAGTCATTCATAATGATGAAAATGAAGTACTTAAATAACAAAGTCTATTTTAGTGGTTAGGGACATATAAAAGGAATTACATATTGAGTCCATTGTACTATAAATAGATGCTTTACCATTTATATACTTAGGAGTTCCTTTCTCTACTGAAAGGATGACAGTTTTTGCATTGGAAACCTTAAGTAGATAAAATTACAGCAAAGATCACTAATTGGATGGCTAGAAAATTATCATATGTCGGAGGTTTCAACTAATTAGAGCAATAATGTTTGGTATCCAAGCAGACATGTCACATCTATTTTTATTACCATAAAAGGTTATTAAACTCATCGAAGCTGCTTGTAGAAAATATTTGTGGACACGTCTGACCAATATTTCTAAAAGGACACTTGTAGCATAACACAAAGTGACTCTTCCTAAAGGTGTAGGAGGCTTGACCATTAACTTGAAGGCCTGGAATCAAGCTCCAATTTGCAAACTGCTGTGGTTATGGAGTTAGAACAAGGAAAGACTATGAATCAATTTGGTCCATACATACTATATAAGATATTGGAGACTAGCAGATCACATGGAGGTGCCCAATATGCTTTTTGGATGATAAGAAAAATGTGTCATATGTTGAAATTCTGGCAGATTATCATTTTAAATACTCAAATAGAACATAGGGGGAGACAAAATATCATACACTTATAAAACTTTAAGAGGTGTTGGAGGATATGTTCCTTAGAAAAATCTCATATGTCATAATACTACATGTTGTGAAGACTGGCCTATGCAGCTATTTAAGAAGTAACATGAGTTTATTTGAGCTTTTAAGTCCTATTTAATTTGAGTTATGACTTTCTATTGGAGATACTGATTAGGGATTGTCATAAGGACTGTAAGGTTATTTAAGTGTTGTCTAAGAAGGGAAGGTTACTGGTTGGATTTAAGTGTTGTCTAAGAAGGGAAGGTTGCTGGTTGGCTCCTCTCTAAGTTTGTATTGTCACTTAGTGATTAACAAAATCAGTTTAATTGCCCAAAAAAATGAAGTACTTGAATATATAAATGAAATCTTACCTCTCAAATGGATACATCCATCGATATTGTACCGAACCAGCTAGCATTGCTTCATAAGCGAGATGCACAGGGAGATGCTCCATTGAATCAAAGAAGCTAGGAGGGAATACACGCTCTAATTTACAAAGTATTTCAGGTATTTCTTGTTGAAGTCTGACCATATCCTCTTCACGTATTACTGTAGAAGTGACATCCCTAAAGAAAAGACTCATCTCAGTAAGTGCTTCCCACACCTTTTTTGGTAATAGCTCACGGAATGCAAATAGGAACCAATCTTTGCATGAATACATGACAATCGTGACTTTTCATACCAAATAACTTGTGTTTTGTCATGTCCACACACCTTCCCATATTTGAGACATATTCATCAAGAAACTTTAGATTTTTCACCCATTCACACAACAATTTTTTTGACTCTTCTTTTAGTGTGTAAATAGCTTTCGGGTATTTTCCATCAACAGCATGTAATTCAGGTTGTCGACAGAACTCTTTCAACTATTCTCAAGATTTTGGGTTATCTTTTGTTTTACCATCTACATCCAGCACTGTGTTGAACACATTCTCAAAGAAGTTCTTCTCAATGTGCATCACATCTAGATTATGCCGAATGAGATTGGTACTCCAATATGGCAAATCCCAGAATATGCTTCTCTTCTTCCAAACCAGAAAAACCTACTAATCCGACGATTAATAATATTAGCCCCAAGTTCTGTTACCTTTTTAAGTCCCAGTTCTTCTATCTCTTATAAGACATCTTCACCTGACCGGAATGGGGTAGGCTGCATGGTTACTACTCTATTCTTTCTAAATGAGCTTATCCTTTCTATATGGATGATTCAGTGGCAGAAACTTACGATGGTTGTCAAACCAGGACTGCTTACCACCTTTTGTCAAAGTAAAAGCATCAGAATTCTCCATACAATATGGACATGCTAGCCTGCCTGCAGTACTCCACCCAGACAACATTGAATATGCAGGAAAGTCACTGATTGTCCACATCAAAGCAGCTCGCATTTNNNGCATACAATATGTACATGCTAGCCTGCCCGCAGTACTCCACCCAAACAACATTGAATATGCAGGAAAATCACTGATTACATCAAAGCAGCTCGCATTTTGAAATTTTGCTTCTTAGAGATATCGTATGTGTTGACACCTATATTCCATAGATTCTTCAATTCAGCAATCAAAGGCTGCAAGAAAACATCTAGTTGCTGCTTAGGATTCTTTGGCCAAGGAACTATAACTGACAAAAAATAAATAGGGATCTTTCATACACATCCAAGGAGGCAGGTTGTATGGTGTCACTGTTAGCATGATAGACAAATAAATGATTGTATATATTAATGTAATTATATAGTGATATAAATTAGCATGATCATATACATTTTTTGTAGAATCATATGAATAAATATTGTGATAAAATAGCTGATTTGGAGGGATAGCAAGGCAGATTTAGAGGGATTCAATGGCAGATTTGTATAGATAGAATAGATGATCTTTAGGGATAGGATCAGTCGTTGCAGCCGTGGAGTAAGAGGAAAGTAATACATCTGTTTAAATGGTACAAGATTTTTCTTTGAAACAGATCTTTGACTTGTAGGCTTGTACCTGGGATGACTACAAAACTTGCAATTTACAAGCTCACTATCCTCTCCCCAGTAAATCATGCAGGCATTGACACGAGTATGAATTTTTTCAACTGGCATGTTCATTCCCCTCATTAACTTTTTAGTTTCATAGAATTTTTTGGCATCACATTATCAGGCGGAAGCATCTCACTCATATACTGACAAATTTTATCAAAACATCTATCAGAGAGGTGGTGCTAAGTCTTGATGTGCAACAAACGAGAAACAGCTGATAATTTTGAGTGTGTTTCACAACCAGGCCACACTTCTTGATTTGCAGAATCAAGTAAATCATAAAAACTTTGTGCATCAGGATTAGGTAATTCTTCCATATCATCTGGAACAAATGCGGGACTAGCAGCCTCATGAACCATTCTATGATATGATGTAGTAGGTGTAGGATCATCAAATGCACCAACATTCACGGGTAGGTTATTCATAGTATGATCCCGTGGTATTCTTTCATCTTGATCTATGCTTCTCACAACTTCATTTTCTCCATGCAAGTACCATACATGATATCCCGGTACAAAACCTTCTTTTAATAAATGCCCATGGACAATATGAACATTTTCAAAGTTTCTATTTTGACATTTCTTTCGGTTACATGGGCACCTTAGTCTCTCAACGTCCCTCCCTTCTGGATGACTCATAGCAAACTCAATAAAAAGTTGTACACCCCTTACGAATTCAGGATCATATAGACCTTTGGTTAATCTTTGGTATATCCATTGATGATCTGAACTCATTTTACTTATAAACCTTCTATTATGATAATGTGAGAAGGGTAAATAGTGAAACAAAAGCACACAGAGAATTGAAAAGAAGAAATTTGCAGTATAACAGAAAATGGAATATATAATAATGTTATTTGTTTTACCTTTGAACTGGAAATCTCTATTTTTTACAGCAGGTATGCAGGTTGTATATATATATATTTTTTTTTATTAACCCGAGAAAATCCGTCTGTGACCCGCCCTTTGGACCAATCACAGCCTTCTAAACTCGGTGGATAATGGGCCCGCCCCTCTACCCCTTCTCCACTTAAATACCGGGCTTCGCTTTGCATAGTGTGGGGCTTGAACCTGCGACCTAAGCCACAAATCCTCCACCTTTTGCCACTTGAGCTAGGCCTTGGGGGCTATGCAAGTTGTATATATATAAACTAAATAACAACCTTTACTCCTAAAATAACTCCAACAAAGTCCTATTCAAATAAATAGTAATATGATATCATTCCTAAATAACGGGAACGAAAATATTTGACTCAATTAACTTAAAAGCAATCACAAGTTAAAACAGTATAAGAGAACATATGCAGATGCACTAATTTTTAACAAATGGCATTATAATTATAAAATATTTTGAATAGTTAAAAAAGGTGCAATTTATAATCAAGGCAGCAAGACAAATGTTTCCACTGAAGCTTCATTTTTTTTAGTAGCTTCGTATAATCAAAACTTCATAAAACATGTAACTCAAAATATGAAGGCAATGAAAAGTATTATGTTCTTCTACATCTTCTGTAGTTTTAAACATGTAACAAATGGCATTATAATTATACTGTGATTGAAATAGTTGAAAGGAAATTGACCTCCTAGAAAATGTAATATCTCTCTTTTGGTGGCAGACTTACACTCATCAATAGAGTGTTGCACAACTTTCCTACCTACCTCATGTCCCTATTTCCATTACCAAAAAACATTCAGGAAAGACTAGATCTGTTAAGAAGAGATTTCTTATGGGAAGGTAACTGTGAAACTAACAAATTTCATTTGGTTATTATACCAATGAGACATAGCGGGATAGGGGTTAAAGATTTGATCTTGCACAACATGAATTTTCTAATGAAATGTCATTGGAGATACAACATGGACAATCTTGTACTATAGAAAGTTGTAATATGGTGCAAAGCAACTGGTGCACAAGCCAAAATAGAGATCTCCATGGCTCAGGTTCCTGGAAACACATTTCAAAGCAATGGTGGAAGCTCCAACCCAAGTCTTCACTTAAGCTAGGGAATGAAGATCACATCTCTTTCTGGAAAGAAAGATGGTTAGGGACAAAAAGTGCAAGAGATGAATTCTCATCTCTTTTTCTAACAGCCAACAATCAAAGAATCCACTATTTCTTAGTATTGGCAAGGCAACTATAGGATAAACTAAGCTTCGTTAAAAATACTAATATTTGGATACAGTATCATGATTAAGAAGTTTTATACTCTTACGATTTACTAAATCGACAAAAAAATATTCACATACAACTTTTGCTCAAAATTGTTTCTAACTGTGGCGTTTAGAATTTTATTTCTGGCCGGTCAAATAATATCACTTTAAAGATTAAAGGACATAGTCAGTTTGTTGTTTGAAGGTTAAAAAATGGTTTGCACTTTTAAACAGTAAGTACTTTTAGTAAATTCCATAATCACTTTGTTAAGTTTTGAATGATGTGCCTTAATCTATAAAAAATATAAACTTATCTTTTACCAGGGGCACAAAAATAGTGGACCGAACAGTTAACAAATAGCATTATAATTATAAAATATTTGAATAGTTAAAAAGGGTGCAATTTATAATCAAGGCAGCAAGACAAATGTTTTCACTGAAGCTTCATTTTTAGTAGCTTCGTATAATCAAAACTTTATAAAACATGTAACTCAAAATATGAAGGCAATCAAAAGTATTATGTTCTTCTACATCTTCTGTAATTTTAAATCTTTTCTCTAGCGGTTTCAAACTTGAAGGAGCTTGTAGAAGTATGTGCTGCAAAGCGATTTGTTTTTCTATAACACACTTGGGGCTTCTACCAGAGTGATTGTGATGGAGTGAAAAAATTGAAAGTAAATTGACCTCCTAGAAAATGTAATATCTCTCTTTTGGTGACAAACTTACACTCATTAATAGAGTGTTGCACAACATTCCTACCTACCTCATGTCCCTATTCCATTACCAAAAAAGATTCAGGAAAGACTAGATCGGTTAAGAAGAGATTTCTTATGGGAAGGTAACTGTGAAACTAACAAATTTCATTTGGTTATTATACCTAAGAGACATAATGGGCTAGTGGTTAAAGATTTGATCTTGCACAACAAGAGTTTTCTAATGAAATGTCATTGGATATACATGGACAATCCTGAACTATAGAAAGTTGTAATTTGGGAAAAATATGGGGTGGAAAGCAACTGGTGCACAAGCCGAAATAGAGATCTCCATGGCCCAAGTCTCTAGAAACACATTTCAAAGCAATGGGGGAAGCTCCAACCCAAGTTCCAGCTGGGGAATGAAGATCATATATCTTTCTGGAAAGAAAGATGGTTAGGGACAGAGAGTGTGAGAGATGATTTCTCATCTCTTTTTCTAATTGCCAACAATCAGGAATCCACTATTTCTTAGTATTGGCAAGACAACTCCTGGATAGAGTAAGCTTCATTAAAAATACTAATATTTGGATACAGTATGTTGATTTAGAAGTTTTATACTCTTACGATATACTAAATAGACAAAAAGATATTTTCACATTCGGCTTTTGCTCAAAAGTGTTTCTAACTGTGGCGTTTAGAATTTTATTTCTGGCCGCTCAATATAATATCACTTTAAAGATTAAAAGATATAGTCAGGTTGTTGTTAGAAGGTTAAAAAAATGGTTTGCACTTTCAAACAGTAAGTACTTTTAGTAAATTCCATAATCACCTTGTTAATTTTTGAATGATGTGGCTTAATCTATAAAAATATAAACTTATCTTTTGGCAGGGGCTCAAAAAATAGTGTACCGAATAGTGAACCCAATTCACAACTATGTTAGAGAAATCAACATATCAAGGGGATTCAAAAACACAAGTCTATATATTCACTATATGAATCCTATATATTAATTGAGCAAATAGAGCACATTAGAAGTTCTACAATTGACTGTTTGTCTCAAACAAAAAGGAGAAACTAAGCTTGATAAAGAATACTTACCACTTAGCGGAAAGGATAGTGAAACTGAGAATCCAAGAGCCACAGATGAATTGCGAGTGAGTGTAGTCGGAGACAATCTTTAAAATGAGATGAAAATGAAAATGATTTAGAAAAAGTTATGATCCTGAATGTGCAGAAATTAGAGAAAAAACTGAATAGTGGCGAAAGTCTCTGTAATTTAGGGAGGTGGGGAGTTTAGCGGAAAAGTTTTTGCTTTTTTTTCTCTTCTTTTCAACTTTTTTTTTAATTTCAAATATAATGAATTCTTCCAATTTTTATTTGAAGTATTTGTACAATTCTTTTAAGATTCTTTTTTATTCACCAGAAATAAAGTCAAAAACAAAACCCAATATTTAAATTGATGAAATTAAAATACTAAAAATGTAATAATATGTAGGAATTGGAACAAGTACTGAAATCTACAACAAGCTAAGTACCTCAGCAAAAACAAGCAACACATGCAATGATTAATTGAACAAAAGGGGGTGAATGGGGATGAAGACATACCCAGCAACACGATGTTGGTCTTTCTGTAGATATGAGATGCAGTCCATGAGTTGTAATACTCTTGAAAGATTAAAGACCTGATTTTCTCTAAGAAATACTCCATATATCAAATCACTGCAGCGAATTAGAGCTTGAGATGAAAACTTAGGCAATTTGTAGCTGAATTTGTTCCACTCTTGAGAGGAGATCTATCATTGATCTATAGTGGAACTTAGAAAACAGATCAGTAAGAAAATTACCCAGTTCGATCTAGCTTTGCTTAGAAATTCTTGATGAAATTTGTTCTTCTTCATTCAGCTTTTTGTTTCTTGTTCACTGCAGCTTAGAAATTCTTGATGGAATTTGTTCTTGTTCACTGCAGCTTAGAGATTCTTGATGAAGATTACCCAGTTCGATCTAGTAAGAATCAAGTGAGTTGATTTTTGTTTCTTGTTAATATCGCCTGCATTTGTTGTTCTTTTTGGACATTTTTTGTTTTTTTTTAAAATTAAATTTGGGATCCTTTTATTTGATAACTCAGGAAAAAAGAAAATACACACTAGCTCACTCCAATTGCCCAAGTCTATAATGACAAAAAGAAAAATTAAAAAATAACTAAACATTTTTTGCTTTCTATATTATTTAATAAAATGCCATCTACTAAGTTATATATTTATATGTTAAGTAGATTTTAAAAAAAAAATGTAAGGATGAAAAGTTAAATAAAAAATATTTCGTACTATTTTTTATCCTAATTTATATGATATAGTTAATTTAATTGGACATGAATGAGTGAGATCCAATATGGATACAATGTTGATAAAGTTGAAATATTTTTCATATAAAGAAATGTGTCATTTTTTTCGTATTGACTAAATAGAAAATTGTTTAGAGGGTAGTATGTAAAAACGTTACACAACATATATATATATATATATAAAAACTAATTTAATTAACTTTTCGATAAAATATATTTGTGTATACATGAATTGTAGATATTTTGTGCTGACTAAATGAGTGATTGTTAATAGTTTGATATTGGAGTTTTTCTCTGAATACAAATTAAGTCTAATAAAGATTTATAGCTTCTTCTTTTTTACAGTTCGTACATGATATTAAATTAATATTAATAGTCATATACATATTTCAATAAACACGCTCATCAAAATTGTAGACTTAAATCAAAAGAAAGAGTCCTCTACTATTAGACAAAAAATGACCTTTTTGAGCTAACCGCATTGACGGAATTCTCATTCAAGCACGTTTACCAAAAAATGTTGACGTCAAATTTTGGGCAAAACTTAAAAGGTATACGCCTAACGGCACAAACTGAAAAGGAAAGCCTCAAAATCCGAACCAACAATCCTATTAGACAAAAAATGAAATTTCAAAGCTTACCGCGCTGACAGATTTCTCATTTGAGCACTTGTATCAAATTTTTTGACCAAAGTCAAATTTTGGCAAAAAGTTAAAACACCTACCGGCACAAACTGAAAACGAAAATCTCAAAACCAAAACCAACAATTCTATTAGACAAAAAATGACCTTACGGATACAACTGCGATGACGGAATTCTCAGTTGACCACGTTTACCAAATATATTGACCGAAGTTATATTTTTGCCAAAACATAAAAGTTAAAACGCCTAACGGCCTCAAATCCCGAACCAACCATCCTACTAAACTAAAAATGACATTTCGAAACTAACCGCACTGATGAAATTTTAATCTGAGCACGTTTACCAAAAATATTGACCAAATCTATATTTTTTTGCAAAAACTTAAAAGTTAAAACGCCTAACAGCATAAACTAAAAATGAAAGCCTCAAAACCTAAACCAACCATCCTATTAGATAAAATGATCTTCTGAAGCTAATCGCGTTGACGGAATTCTCATCTAAGCAAGTTTGCAAAAAATGTTCGACAATTCCAAATTTTGGCCAAAAGTTAAAAGTTAAAACATCTAATGACACAAATTGACAATGAAAACTCAAAACCCGAACAAACCATCCTAATAGATCTAAAATGACCTTCCAGAGCTACCCGCGCTGATGAAATTCCAATTTGAGCATGTTTCGCAAAAATGTTGACCAAATTAAAATTTTAACCAAAACTTAAAAGTTAAAACGTCTAATAGCACAAACTGAAAATAGAAGCATCAAATTCCGAACCAACCATCCTACTAGACCAAAAATGACCTTCTGAGGCTAACCACGCTGATTAAATTTTAATCTGAGCACGTTTACCAAAAAAATTGACCAAATCATAATTTTAGCCAAAACTAAAAAGTTAAAACATCTAACAGTACAAACTGAAAATAGAAGCCTCAAAACCTAAACCAACCTTCCTTTTTAATAAAAATGACCTTCTGAAGTTAACTGCACTAACAGAATTCTCATCTGAGCACGTTTACAAAAAATGTTAAGGAAAGTCAATTTTTGGCTAAAAGTTAAAACGCCTAACGTCACAATCTGAAAAATGAAAACCTCGTAACCCGAACAAACCATCCTAGTGGACCAAAAATGACCTTCCAGAGCTAACCGCGATGACGAAATTCCAATTTGAGCATGTTTCCCAAAAATATTGAACAAATTCAGATTTTAACCATAACTTAAAAAGTTAAAACGCCTAACCACACAAACTGAAAATAAAAGCCTCAAATTCTGAACCAACCATCCTAATAGACCAAAAATGACCTTCTGAAGCTAACCACGCTGATGAAATTTTATAATTATCACATTTACCAAAAATATTGACCAAATCTACATTTTGGTCAAATGTTAAAAGTTAAAATGCCTAACAACACAAACTGAAAATTGAAGCCTCAAAACCTAAATCAATCATCCTATTAGTTAAAAAAAATGACCTTCCGAAGCTAACCGTGTTGACGGAATTCTCATCTGAGCAAGTTTGCAAAAAATGTTAGGCAATTTTAAAATTTGGCCAAAAGTTAAAAGTTAAAACGCCTAACGGCACAAACTAAAAATGAATACCTCAAAACCCGAACAAATCATCCTATTAGACCAAAAATGACCTTCCAAAGCTAACCGCGCTGACGAAATTCCAATTTGAGCAAGTTTCCCCAAAATATTGACCAAATTCATATTTTAACCAAAACTTAAAAGTTAAAATGCCTAGCAGCACAAACATAAAATAAAAGCCTCAAATTTCGAACCAATCATCCTATTAGTTAAAAACATGATCTTTTGAAGCTAATCGCGTTGACAGAATTCTAATCTGAGCAAGTTTGCAAAAAATGTTAGGCAATTTCAAAATTTGGCCAAAAGTTAAAAGTTAAAACGCCTAACGGCACAAACTGAAAATGAAAACCTTGAAACCCGAACAAACCATCCTATTAGACCAAAAATGACCTTCCAGAGCTAACTGCGCTGACGAAATTCCAATTTGAGCATGTTTCCCAAAAATATTGAACAAATACATATTTTAACCATAACTTAAAAGTTAAAATGCCTAACAACACAAACTAACAATAAAAGCCTCAAATTCCGAACCAACCATCCTAATAGACAAAAAATGACCTTCTGAAGCTAACTGCATTGATGAAATTTTAATCTGATCACATTTACCAAAAATATTGACCAAATCTACATTTTGGTCAAAAGTTAAAAGTTTTAAAACACCTGACAACACAAACTGAAAATGGAAGCCTCAAAACCTAAACCAACCATCCCATAAGATAAAAAATGACCTTTCGAAACTAATCGTGCTGGCGAAATTCTCATATGGGCGTGTTTACAAAAAAAGTTAAGCAAAGTCAAAATTTAGCCAAAAGTTAAAAGTTAAAACGCATAACAGCACAAACTGAATATGAAAACCTTGAAACCCAACCAATCATCCTACTAGACCAAAAATAACCTTCCGAAGCTAACTTCGCTGATGAAATGTTAATCTGAGCACGTTTACCAAAACCATTGACCAAATCTAAATTTTGGCCAAAAGTTAAAAGTTAAAACGCCAAACAGGACAAAATTAAAATAGAAGCCTCAAACCTAAACCAACCATCCTGTTAGATAAAAAAATGACCTTCCGAAACTAACCGTGCTGACGAAATTCTCATCTGAGCACGTTTACAAAAAAAGTTAAGCAAAGTCAATATTTGGCCAAAAGTTAATAGTTAAAACGCCTAATGACACAAACTAAATATGAAACCCTCGAAACCCGAACCAATTATCCTACTAGACCAAAAATGACCTTCCGAAACTAACTGCGCTGATGAAATGTTAATCTGAGCACGTTTACCAAAAATATTAACCAAATCTAAATTTGGTCAAAAATTAAAATTTAAAACGCCTAACAGGACAAATTGAAAACGGAAGCCTCAAAACCTAAACCAACCATCCTATTAGATAAAGCTAACCTTTTGAAACTAACCGCGCTGACAGAATTCCCATCTGAGCACGTTTACAAAAAATGTTAAGGAAAGTCAAATTTTGGCTAAAAGTTAAAAGTTAAAACGCCTAACGGCACAATCTGAAAATGAAAACCTCGTAACCCGAACAAACCATCCTAGTGGACCAAAAATTACTTTGTAGAGCTAACTGCAGCGACGAAAATCCAATTTGAGCATGTTTCCCAAAAATATTGAACAAATTTGGATTTTAACCATAACTTAAAAGTTATAACGTCTAACAGCACAATTGAAAATAAAAGCCTCAAATTTCGAACCAAACATCCTAATAGACCAAAAATGACCTTCTGAAGCTAATTGCGCTGATGAAATTTTAATCTGATCACATTTACCAAAAATATTGACCAAATCTACATTTTGGTCAAAAGTTAAAAGTTAAAACGTTTGACAGCACAAACTGAAAATGAAAGCCTCAAAACCTAAACCAACCATCCTATTAGACAAAAAAATGACCTTCCAAAACTAACCGCGCTGACGGAATTCTCATCAGAGCACGTTTACAAAAAATGTTAAGCAAAGTCAAAATTTGGCCAAAAGTTAAAAGTTAAAACGCCTAACGGCACAAATTGAATATGAAAACCTCAAAAATCAAACCAACCATCCTACTAAACCAAAAATGACCTTCTGAAACTAAATGTGCTGATGAAATGTTAATCTGAGCACGTTTATCAAAAATATTGACCAAATCTAAATTTTGGCCAAAACTTGGAAGTTAAAACGCCTAACAGCACAAACTTAAAATGGAAGCCTCAAAACCTGAACCACCATTCTATTAGATTAAAAATTGACCTTCCGAATCTAATCGTGCTGACGGAATTCTCATCAGAGCACGTTTACAAAAAATGTTAAGCAAAGTCAAATTTTGGCCAAAACTTAAAAGCTAAAACACATAACGGCACAAACTGAAAATGAAAATCTCAAAACCCGAACAAACAATCCTATTAGACCAAAAATGACCTTCCAAAGCTAACCGTGCTAACAAAATTCCAAGTTGAGCATGTTTCCCAAAAATATTTACCAAATTCAGATTTTTGCCAAAAGCTATTTAAAACGCCTAATGGCACAAACTGAAAATAAAAC